CCCCCCCCCTCTTGTGGGCTGGAGCAGCCACCTGCCCGCAGTGGACAAGGGGCTGCTTCAGACCCACCCATTAACCATAATCAGTAAGCATCACCCAATAAGGTGATGCTTACTGATTAACCATTGACTTCCCTCTTGGGTGCAGGGTGCTGAAAACGGGGGGCCCAGCATATTTAGTTAGCTATTGCTCCTGGCCCACGACTAGGGCTCTTTGGCATAACGGTAATACAAATAATACTAGTTAATGCAGTATATGAACTGCGTCCTTATTAGACCACTTGGTACTGGCTTCATCATCACTAAAGAGCAAGGAAGGCTGGTCTTACTTCCTGACGCACTGAAAACCGACCCCTGCTGTCACAGCTGAAAGGGTCCATTACAAAAATGCAATTGTGAAAAGACACTCAAGCTTCATTAAAGCCACAGGAGCCACCAAGAGGATAGATACCTTGACACTTGATTTGTAGTGGATTCTTCTCTCAGTATCTGTCCCGACCTGCTGATGCTTTTCTTAATCAAATGCATTAATATAAAGAGAGTTTGGTACTTTGGTGAAGAATGGGATCTCCTTTGATGGGGGTGGGGGAAGATCTTAGTGAATGTGTTCAACCATGGGTATACTAGGTATAATAATGTTAATTACTTGCACTTTAAATATATCTGGCCCTAGGGCCTGCCTGAGCAGTGGTCCTAGAGCAGGTGGAGCAGCAACCAGAGCAGCAGTCCCAGGGACAGCTGTACAAATCAGTGCTCAGCAGTCCTCAGCTGCTGGCCTCTCAGATGGCCCAAATAGCCACCAGTTGGGCTGGCCCCACAAGTCCAAAGATAAGATTGTCAGCCATGTTTATAGTCATAGTCACAGTAAAGTGGCATTGAATTTTTGTTTATTGCCTATAACCTATTCCTCATGACTTTTATTAAAATACCCATGATTAAAATATTGCTTTGTTTATGACTAAGAAGAAAATGAGTTATGCCTCATTATTAAAAAATAATGAACATATACCTGTTTTGCAATAATAAAATTTAAGTATGGGGTAAAAAAGAC